GATGAGTCCCTCTATCTCGTCCCGGAGATTATTACACTGTTCGGTACTGTGACCGTGATCTCTATGAAAACTACAGTACAGATTTTTGTTTCTCTCGTTTGGATTCCCTTTTAGGCGAGGTGGCCACTTGACGTATGGGGCGTCTTTGATTGTCATCAAGATCTCAGTCTGCCTCGTGTTTAACGGCGTATAATCCGTTCGAACTGCTAATGGTGCTCGGGACAGTTGGCTTGGCTTCGCCTCCCGGGCCAGGTTTCTTCTGTTGCCTGGGTTGGAGGGTTCACCCTCTCTTTTCCTTTTCTCGACCCCACCTTCGGTTATTTGGTTGATCTCTTCCTCTGTTCTCATGAACTTGTCTGCGAGCTTGAGGAATTCAGCCACGGTCGCGGGATGGCTGGCTACCATGTGCCATTTAAACTCCTTGTGCGCTACTCCTCTCTTGACCGCCGCGAGCTGAACTGCGGGGTCTAATCATGGTATCTGCAGGCACGCTTCATTGAACCACTTGATGTAGCCCCGGATGGATTCTCCTTCTCTCTGGACTACTCCGAAGATGCTTTCCTCAGTTCTGGGGCACCGCTTGCTGGTAACGAAGTGCGCGGTGAAGACCTGCACGAACTGGGTCCAGCTTCTTATTGACCTTGGGGCTAGGTTCTTGTACCATGTGTGGGCCACCCCCCTGAAGGTGGTGGTGAAGGCCACACACATGCATGATTCACTGGCCCTGGCGAGGTGCATTTGGGACTGGAAAGCATCGACGTGGTCGTTGGGGTCAAAGGACCCATCATACTTGTCCAATGGTGGAAGCTTGAAGTCTCTGGTCAAAGGACCCATCATACCCATCATACTTGTCCAATGCCAGGAGTTCTGATGCGAGGGGGGAAGGAACTGAGAGAATCGGGGCAGCTTTTACTCCGTCCGAGCTCGTCTCTTCCTTACCTCTAAGTTCGGGCAGGACACGGGTGGCAGTTCGGTGACTTCGTCGGCGCCTTCGTTGTTGAGTGGGCCTGGTACTGGCGCTGCTGGCCTCTGTGTTGCTGAGCTCGATGGGTCCAGAATGTTGGTAGTCTGCTACTAGGGCGCTGAATCGGTTCTCTGTGAGCGGGAACTCAGGCTTGGAGCACCGAGGTGCTGACTTTGTGGGTGAGGTTCCAGACCCGCCTACGAGTTGCAAGGCGGGAGTGATTCTTTCCCTTCGGCCTGGGGATGAGACCTGGCTGTTGGGGGGGTTCTGGGGTTGGGAGGCTTCTCCTCGACGAGGGCGTCCACCCTGAGGGGAAGCCTTAACTGGCTTCAGAGCAGGGTGCCGAGGTGGAAGCAGTGACTGGTTCAGGGGCAATTGGGGGAACTGCTGCTGATAGTGATGTTGAGAGAGGTGGTGCAGTACTTGGTGCTG